GAGGAAGACATTTGTTGGGATGAGCACTGGGTGTTATACATAGGGGATGAATCACTGGAATCTACCCCTGAAATCATTATTGCTCTATATGCTAACTAACTTGGATGTAAATTAAAAATAAACAAATGAAACAAAACCAAACAAAAAAACAAGACCCGGGCACAGGCTGCCACTAAGGAACGTTTTTAGAAGAGCAGAGTGAGAAAATTGAGAGCCCCAGGCCCAAGGAGCGCCCGTGTCAACTTTGTCTCTCAGGGATGTCACCAGCTCCTCTACCCTTTTACACGCTGTGTGCTCAAACAAGTGAGGCCATCAGGTGGGGGAAGCCCAATGACCCCATGTGGCACAGCCAGTCCCCACGTATCAGTGAGAGAGCTGAGGCACATCAGAGTTGGAAGGGACTTTGGAGATCCTGGACACTATCCGCTTCCCTACTTATGGAGGAGGAAACTGAGAGCCAGAGAGGGGATTGGAGTTGCCCTCGGATCACGAGGCTAGTTTGAGCCGGAGGTGGGACCAGAATCCAGGTCTCCAGATGTGGAATCCGTGCCTCTCCTCTACAGGCTGCATCTTTCTGGGAGGGATTGGAGCCTATGTTGACAAAACCAAGCACTTCCTCATTCAAGGAGTGATAAGGAAATACAGTGGTGTTGCTGATTGAACGGCTAGTTTATCTTCTGTGTTTCTTTCTCTGCAAGATTATGTTAACATAGTGCCCAGAACAGTAAGCATGGACCACCTCGAAAAACCTAACCCAACCCATTTGCACACATCTTCTAGTGATCAGAGTGAGTAATGGGCTCTGACGTTATGGAACTTATCTTGGGGAAGGTAAAATGGGACACTGTGACCTTCACGTCTCCTTATTCTCCTCACCAAAATGTAAATCTGCAGGGACAGGTAGGTGAGAGGCATGGTGATGGTGTGGATAAAACCGGAAGTTGGGAGACCTGCATTTTTGGCACTGGGTATCACCTTGTTGGCTCTTCCTGGGCAAGTCTCGTCCACTGTCTAGGTCCGTTCCCTCATCTAAATAATAAGGTGAGTTCTCAGTGAAATCCACGGACCCCTTTCCCCACTTGCTCTCCTCCTCCATAAACTCGAGTTCTTTACTTAGAGCAGAAATTGAGTGTGAATGTGAAAAGAGAGAGGTAGGAAGTGTGGACGTGCAAATGATTTTTAAACTCCAGTTTCATTCGTTAAACAATACATATTTGCTGAGTGTCAATTTATGCCAGGCACTTGGGGCATTTTCTTTGCTAAAATGAGAGCAGACCCCATGAATGATTAAAGAAAGGCATGCCCAAACCTTAAGGAATCTCAAGTTCACCTTAAAAAAATCATGCCAGGATGCCTGGATAGTTCAGTCGGTTAAGCATCTGACTTCAGCTCAGGTCATGAGCTCACAGTTCGTGAGTTCGAGCCCCACGTTGGGCTCTATGCTGCTGGCTCAGAGCCTGGAGCCTGCTTTGGATTCTCCCTCTCTCTCTCTCTCTCTCTCTCACTCTCTCTGCCCCTCCCCCACTCGTGCTCTGTCTCTCTCTCTCTCAAAAATAAATAAACATTTTTTAAAAATTAAAAAAAAATCATTCCATGTCTCTGCCTTACAAAAAGATAGGCATCTGGGTTAAAAGAAAGTTTGATTTTCCAAAATGGTTTTCAGGAGCAGTTTAGTTCCACAAGTATTGACCAGCCCTCTTAAGACTCTATGCTGGGTTGTCAGGGAGCACTGGGGACCAGGAGGTGAACGTGTAGCTCATCTCATGGGGGGAGACTAGCCAGTGACTGCCATTTAACACAGTCCATGATCTGGGCTGTAACAGAGGGGTAGGATTTGTCTTTGGGGGTTGTACTGAAATGAATAATGGTCACCCCCAAACTTCATGTACACTCGGAACCAGTGAATGTTTCCTTATTTGAAAATAGCCTCTGTAGATGTCATTTGTTAAATTATGATGAAGTCATACTGGATTAGGAGGTGCCTTTAATTCAATGATTGGTGTCCTTAAAAGAAGATGCCGGGAGAGGTGGGGAGGGGAGGGCCATATGAAGACGGAGGCAGAGACTGGAGTTCTGTTGCCACAAGCCAAAGAACATCAGGAACTCCCAGAAGTGGGAAGAAGCCAGGAAGGATACTGTCCTTGAACCTCTGGAAGGAACATGGCCCTGCTGATGCCTTGATTTTGGACTGTAGCTTCCGGAACTGTGAAATAATGAATTTCTGTTGTTTTAAGCCACTCAGTTTGTGGAAAACTGTTACAGGAAATTAACACAGGACATACAATGAAGTGCAGTGAGAAATAATGGTGAGTTAAGAGAGCAACAATCTGATGTTACAGAAATCGAGTATTATTCCTCATTGACAGAATTTGGCTGAACTAAGCCAAAAGGTTAGTGGGAAAGGGTTGGAAACCCCAGTTTGGGGTACATATCGGCAATGTGACCTCAGGCAAGTGATTTGGCCTCTTCGATAGTTCCTTATCCATAAAACAAGGATCTTAAGACCCTCGTGGTCAGGTTATTATGAGGACTAAATGAAATACCTCATTTGAAAGCACTCACCCTGGTGTGTGGCACATAGTAAAGCCTCAATAAAAACCAGCTGACATTTATGACCAACCTAAAGTTGTCTCAGTTAGTCCCTTTCCCTTGACTAATGAGTTCCTTCATTGTACCACCAGTAATTATCTTCGTTAGTGGCTGTCTTTCCCACCAGAATGTAAAATGTAAGTCCTTTTAGGTGGGGGCAGTCTCATTTATGGCTGCACATGGGACCTAGCACGAAGCCTGGCACGTATTTGTGAGATGCGTGCATGAATGAATGAATGAATGAATGAGTGAATAGTGGACACCTTGTCTTGTAAACATTAAATGAAGACATGTTTAAACAATTTCCTTTTACTCTCTCTGTGGTCCCACATAACCGCATTAGAATGCCTCTGTAATCTTCCCCACCAACAACAATTTCTCTTGCCTGTTTTAAGCTTGTTTGGTAGGAACGCAGCTTCCCTGATATGTAAAATATGGGTGTCCTGGAATCTTCGGAAGCATGGGGCTGTGTTCTTGCTGGCGATAACAGACTGTGGGATGTCAGTCCCATGCCTGGCACATAGGAAGGGAATTTCCCCCTCCTCTCACTTGCCCTGTTTATTTTTTGCTGTAGGGGTGTGGAAGAGACAAAGGGGCTGAATTGAGGGACAGCGGAGAACAATTTGGGAGTTTATGAAATCCTAGTGAATGTCTTTCTTTTTCTTGGAGCTGTATTAGATTGGGGCACTGCTTGCTTCCAGGGGAACCAAACCATCAAATAGGACTTCACAGGGTCAATAAAATGCTCTGAAAATTCTGTGTCTTGCACAGTGTCAGCCTCCCCTGTATCCCAGGGACCTAGGTCACAGTGGCTGTGAGTGGAGATTCTCAGGATGTCAAGTGGGGCCATTGCACTAATAGCAAGATTCCCTGAGCTGGAGGCTTGTCAATTACCTATGAAAGAGGTGGATCAACCCCCTTGAGCCTCATCATATCAAAGTTTTTCGTCCTCAGTAGGAAAGGATGACCAGAAAGTGGGGTCTTTCATAGCCTTAGAGCCAAGGAGGCCCTGACAATTAAGCAAGGACAGGGTTGGCCAGCCATCCCATCCGATACTTTGAGATCCCAGGAAAAG